AGCTGGAGAAAAAAAAAAAGACATTCAAACAAGTTGAGTCCTGGCCCACTGTCATACTTAAAATCTGCAGCAGTGCTAAGATTAACACTATCATTCCCAATGTGGAGCCATGTTTCCAAGTGCTACAGCAGCATATTGACTTGCACTTTCATAGCAGATTATTATTATTTATTTATTTATTTATTTTTGTCAGAATAGAGTTGCTGAGTGATCCTTTCTGTTAGAATCTATGGGAGCTAGTAGCATCTGTCACCTCAGATATCTTCTACATGCTTCTTACCTTCTTTTGTCAGGTCACTACTAGGGAGGTTGACAAGACGGAGCCTACAGTTGACTCCTGTGCTGGACTTATCCCACCAACTTTCTGCTGTGCTATCATATTCCATGGAAAACACAGATTGTTTCTGCTCTATCTGACAATTTTTGTTACCAAAATGATTTGAATGAAATTTCCTGTGATGTTATAGCAAGTGCTGTAGTACAATACCGGCATGTTCTCTGTTTTATTTTAAATTTCATTCACTCAAGAAAAATAATTCACTTTGACTGGCATGTTTTTTTTTTCCTCCAGACTCACAGAGTTTACCACTCATTGATCTGCTATCCTATACATATTTTGGACTTTATTTATTTATTTTGTTTAGGGTATTCATTCTGTTATTTAGAAGGATTGAAAATTAACCTTACCAAGCAAGTAATTGTAGAGGTCAAATGCCAAAAGATTGATACCAAATCTAAGTTGGAAATTTCCAAGCTTCCTGTATTTCTGTGAATTTATTAGCTAATTCAGCTGAAATATCTGAATGCACACCACCTGCACAGCTGATATAACAGCTGAATAATTTTAAGAAAAATTTAGAGTTTTCACTTGTTTGGTTTTATTCCAACTCCATATTCTGTTCTATTGTTAAAGAGACTTGAGTCCTCATTAATGTCCATGTCTTTCCTCCCCCCTCTCAATCTCTCTCTCTCCCCCCCCCCCCATGTATACACACACATATACATTTATATTTCTAATGCATATTTTGAAGAAAGAAGGGCTGAAACTGTATTATGGCTGCAGGGCTATCTAAGGCTTGTTTACAGCTTCCTAGACAGCTGTGTACAGATAACTAAGTAAAGCACGAAAATCGAAGGAGACATGTCAGGCAAAGGGACCATTCTGTTCCACTTTGAGTTTTCTCCTCCACTTCATAGCTAACTGAACTTGTCTCAGGGGATAGTCTTGAATTTGTGGGCTTAAACTTATTTATTGTGAAAAGACAAGCAAAAGCAAAAAGTTACCTGTAACAGTCCTCTTAAAAAATAAAGACCTAATTACATACAAGCAAAGAAAATGCAGCTGAGTCTATCTAAGACAGAGGATTTCTGTGCCAGATGGTTTTAAGGACACTTTATTGTTACTCTTGGTTTATGTTCTGTAGGCTCATACTCAGGGGTTTTGGATCTTATCTCTGTTCTGAAAGGACTAAAAAATATATACCTAGTCTGGAACTCCCAAATTTGGCTTTCCTAACTCTTTGTAACCACAAAATCAACTGTCTAGTGTGACTTCCAGATGACATTGAAAAACTCTTCCTGGCAAAGGCATTCCTGGAAAAGCTTCAGCCAAAACCTGGCATAGAATTATGCCCAGAATATGGACTCAGGTTTGCTGAAATGCAGCCAGAATTTGGATCGAGATTGCTGAAAGCTTTGAAAATTATTTCTAGTTTGTTAGGAAAATGTTGCCCAGCTGTAGTCATTACAGATGCATTCTAGCAATTATTATATCCAGTGAAGTAGTGTCCTGGGGATGTGGAAAGGATGGAGGGTACCTTTTCATCTTGTATACAACAGCAGGATGGGAATCCAAACTCTATTTAGCAGAATACTAATTAAAGGGACTTACTATTTTCTCAGCCAGAACAGAGAGGCCCAAAGAAAGCCTTCTTGCTGGTTCAACAGCTGGTTCCCTGAGATATTTTCTCCAGATGGGTTGCATTTGTATCCAGTGCAACAAAACCACTCATGTGGCAAATATCTCTTAGAGGGTAAGGAGGCCTGTGTTTTTAAAGGAAATGAGAATACTTTTGTTTAGTAACTGTAGCCTGTATCATTGCATTTTTCTTATTTCATTTTCTATTGCACAATATTTATCAAGTTTTCATCATACATCATTACAAAATAAGATGTGAGCAAATTATTATTCTTGTTTGTGTATCTGTGCTCAAAAGTCGTTTGTATTTATTTATTTATTTTTTGTAGGATTTGAAAGAAATCCCCATATAATTTATAAATTCTTGATTTTCTACAGTATTTTCCATGGCATGTTGAAGTGGAATCATAGCAATGCTGGTTGTAAGAAACCTCTGGAGTCAGGAGTATCATTAACATCAGGATCTGTGGATCAGGTTATGAGAGCTTGACATTCTAAAATGTGAAACTCTCCATGGACAGAGTGTCTATAGATATGCTATACACTGCCTTTCTAAGTGACGTCATTTATCCTAGTGTCCAATCTGAATCTCTCATGCTGGGCTGCTGACTCCTGTTATACATCATGCCACAGAGGAAGACAGCTTGGCTCCATCACATCTGAAGTTTTCTACCATATTAATCCTAGTGTATGGTAGTCATATTTCAACCATTATTATTTCCATCTTTTTGTTAAAACTTTGCTACACTATGCCACTGTACTCCGTTTTTTTGTTTGTTTGTTTTTGTTTTGTTTTGTTTTATTTTTTTGTTTTGATTTATGACCTTTTCTTTGGGTGAAGAGAGAAAAAATGGAAAACGCGAGAAAAAATTCAAGAAAATGTTGGAATTTCCTTTAAAAAACAAGGTGACTAAATTCCAAATGCTCAAAGCAAACAAAAACTCCAGCCCTTTACTTTTGAACATCAGTTTCATCTTGCTACCAAAATTCCTTAAGTAATCGAATAATGTGCCTTGAAATGACTATGCTTTTGAGCAGAATTTATGCTTGTGTTTTTTGACAGATCTGAATATATACAAAAAACATTAAATTCTGCATACAGAGGCTGAGTGGAAGGAAAAGTTTCCCAGAAATTAAGTTAAGTTTATTTGGGACTGCTAATAACATAGTTTGGGTTATTTAAAGTCAGCCTACACAAAGGCGTGCATTCTCTCTTCCATTTCTACACAGAGCAAAGATCGAAGGCTTAAAAGGTTGTTACCAGCACAGACTACTTCAGGGAATACATGATACATATGAACTGAAACATACCAAGCTGCTTGTGTTCTGAAAGATTATTATATCAAGAATGTAGTATTTATCTTTCTTGTATTAGTAAGTGAAGAAATTAGTATTTTTTGTGTTAGTAGCCATGAAGAAACACTAAGGCAGATATCCTTTCAGCTGATTATACCCTGAAAGAAGCTTGTGTCAAAATTCCCTCTGGTGACCCCATAACTAAAGGGCCTTATGTTAACCACTTTTCCTGTTCACAACCATAAGACAATAATTTCCCTCTGGACCAGACTGCTCTAAAGAAGACAAAGAAAATACACAGTTTCACTTGATCTTTTTCTGTCAGACAGGAATCAGGCAGCCAAAGGGGAAAGTGTAAAACCTCCTGGGCTGGATTTTCAAGTGCTATTTGTTGATGAGGCCTACAAGCCTGTGCCAGCTGCCTTTCTCTTTGTGTGTTCTCCCCTGAAAGGTATCAATGTAAAGTCCCTAGAAGAATTTCTGTTTAGACGGTGGGATGGTGGGTGCTGAGTCAGAACCAAGCAAAGGGAAGGAAAACAAAATAATTGAAAATTATTGCTGTAAGAGAAAGGAAATTCTAAAAATTTTTATTATTTCATCTTTTTCTTTTCATTTAAAATTAGAGTGAAACAGGCTAAAGCCAAGAAAACTGTCTTATGATATATAGAAATATTACTTTATGACTTTATAATTCTACTCCATAATAATATGTGGAATTATAGAGGATAGAGGTATAGAGTGGGGGAAGAACTCATTGAGAACAGCCCTACAGAGAAGGATTTGGGGGTATTGGACATGAACCAGTAATGCCTGCTTGCAGCCCAGAAAGCCAGTAGGATCACAGGCTGCATCAAAAGAGGTTTGGCAAACGGTGGAGGAAGGTGTTTGCCCCCCTCTACTCTGCTCTTGTGAGACACATCCTGAAGTACTGCATCCACCTCTGGGGTCCCCAGCATAAGAAAGACATAGATGTACAGAGGTATAGAGGTACAGAGGAGGGACATGAGGATGATCAGGGGGCTAGAGCACCTCTTCCATGAAGACAGGCAGAATTGGAGTTGTTCAGCCTGGAGAAGAGAAGGCTCCATGGAGACTTTATGGCAGCCTTGCAATATTTGAAAGGGTCTCATAAGAGAGATGGAGAGAGACATTTTACAAGGGCATGTTGTGATAGAACAAGGGATAATGTTTTTAAATTAAAAGAGAGGAGATTTTTAATTAAAATTAAAAAAATATAAAATATATAATAAATAAATATTAAATTTACATTTTTAAATTAAAAATTTAAATTGAGAGGAGACGGTAGATATAAGGAAGAAATTCTTCACTATGAGTGTGTTGAGGCACATTCCAGTGTTTCCAGGTTGCCCAGAGAAGTTCTGAATGACTCCTCCTTGAAAGCATTCCAGCTCATGTTGGATGGGACTTTGGGCAACCTGATCTAGTGAAAGATGTCCTTGCCTATGGCAGGGGATTGGACTAGATGATCTTTAAAGGTCTGTTTCAACCCAGACCATTGTATGATTCTATAATTCCACATATTATTATGGAATAGAATTATAGAGTCATAAAGTAATCTTTCTGTATATCATAAGACAGTTTTCTTGGTTTTAGCCTGCAGTATTGTGAGTTCAGTAGCATTGACAAGAAGCTACACGTTATTCCCTGTGTATCTTTTTTTTTTTATTTTCTAAATGAAATTTTATTTCTTTTTCTCTCTCTTTTTTTTTTTTTTTTTTTCTCCCTTCTTTCTGTTTGCAAGAAAAAATAATGCACTGCAGTAAAATGTGAAAGTAGTCACAATTTGGTAAATAATATTAGGAGAGAGCAGTCAGGGTTCAGTTTGAGAACATGTGTCAGAATCCATCACTCAGAAGAAAGAGATAAACCTCACAGAGAAAATGTATCCATTCAGCAGTATTTAATAGAAGGTTATACAGAGGTACTGCTGCTGCATTCACTTTCATCAGAAAGCAAATTGATCTTTTTTTGCTGTATTGGAAAAAGTGAGTGTGCTATCACGTGATACCTTTGAAGATCTAATTCCTAGGCTTTTTTGGTAGTCTGAGGAAAATCAAATGACAGGAAGTACACCTCTCTTATTATGATGTATTATTGGCAATCTGTGATAACCCTGTTATTCCAGGAGTGCATTGATCTACAGCACTACATAAAAATACATAAAAACAGCACAGGCAATACATGCTCAAGTATTTTCCTTATTTAAGTTACCTCATTTCCTTCCCTTCATCTGCTGCTCTACAGTCACTTCCTTTCCACAGCACCCTAACTTAGCTCACAGTCTTGGACTGTAAATCCCTTTAGATCACAGGGAAACTCAGCATTTCTGCACTTAATTGGAAAGCTGGGTTACACAGCTGCCTGTGAAGAAGAATTGCCCAGGAGCACTCTTCATTCCCAAGAGCAGCACTACTTCTTCACTCCAAGAGCAGCTTTTGAGATCTTAAGGTGAATGCAGGTGCAGACAATGGGAGGTAATGACAGTCTTCAGTGGCAGTCGCAGGTGCACAGCAAGAGGTTGCAGGGCTCTTTGGGGAAGTGGAGGTTCCTTCTTTGGTTTCCTTGGGGAAGTGCAGATGCCTACCTTTGTTTTCCATTCCTCTCCAGCACTCACTCCACAATTTCTGATTCCTTTGTGAAAGATTTAGAGTCATATCCAGATGATGTGGAAACTATGAAATATGAACATGAACAACAAATAAGTGTGAAATAAGTACAACATAGTACAATTTATTTGTTGTACAATAAGTACAGTAAACTGTGAAATAAGACATCTCTGCAGAATGATTTGGCACAAGTTTTGGGTACAGAACACAAGAAGGGGTTGGAGGGGTGGGAAGATTTGCCGTTATCTATATCAGCACTCTTTCCTCTGAAAGCACTACAGCAGTGTGTGCATGTAGGTGTTGACCTCAAGGCAACAAAGGCAAATTTAACTAATTCCAAAAGAAATTTCTTGAGTTCATTAAAAAGTAGAGCCCAGAGCCCATAGTTTTCTTAAAACATTGGTATCCTTCTGCTGAGCTAAAATTTAACAATACATGCAAATGAACCTGACCCTGTTAAGGTTGAGGCTCTTACAGGTACAGTCTCAGATTTCTTTTCTCTTTTTACTTGTGTGTCATTAACATATGCCTAGCTCATGTTTAAAGTGAATGTAAAACATGAGAGAAGAAAAGAAGTTCAAAGCAAATTGAGATGGCTAGAGCTTGCAATCATGAAATGGCACTGTTAGGGAAATCATAGCATACATAGGAATTTGTACTTAGAGAGAAATCAGGAGATCTGATAATTTCATTTCAATGTCATGTCATGAATACATGAAAATGTCTTGCATGCATGTAACTGTTTCAGTATTTTGAATAGATTCAAAACATGTCATTTTGAACAGATTCAAAAGGTGTCATGGCCTTTTCAAAACAGCCTGCCTGCAAGCATTAAGGCATAAATTTTATCATTACTGAGAGTACGAAGAGATCTTCCACTGTTCTGTGGTATACTACTCCCCATCCTTTTTTTCTACCGCTCCCCCAACCCTTTCTTCCTGGGAGAAAACAGCTGCAATTCATCAGAGTAATAATTTATTATGGGCATCAATGAAAATCAGGATAACATGAATTGTACTTTGCATGTTGCTATAACTGACAATTAAGTTGTAGAAAATGGCATTCAAAGGTTTGAAACTAAAATAAACATAACCTGTACATTTGATTTGTTTAGTTTGGTGTGGTGTTTTTGTTTTGGTTGTTATTATTAAACATTATACATTAATTAAAAATATAGAATCATAGAATCATAGAATCATAGAATATCCTGAGTTGGAAGGGACCCTTAAAGATCATCAAGTCCAACTCTTGACACCGCACAGGTCTACCCAAAAGTTCAGACCATGTGACTAAGTGCACAGTCCAATCTCTTCTTAAATTCAGACAGGCTCGGTGCAGTGACCACTTCCCTGGGGAGCCTGTTCGAGTGTGCAACCACCCTCTCTGTGAAGAACCCTCTCCTGATGTCAAGCCTAAACTTCCCCTGCCTCAGCTTAACCCTGTTCCCGCAGGTGCTGTCACTGGTGTTAATGGAGAAAAGGTCTCCTGCCTCTCGACACCCCCTTACGAGGAAGTTGTAGACTGCGATGAGGTCTCCCCTCAGCCTCCTCTTCTCCAGGCTGAACAGGCCCAGTGCCCTCAGCCGTTCCTCGTACGTCTTCCCCTCCAGGCCTTTCACCATCTTCGTAGCCCTCCTCTGGACACTTTCCAACAGTTTCATGTCCTTTTTATACTGTGGTGCCCAGAACTGCACACAGTACTCGAGGTGAGGCCTCACCAGCGCAGAGTAGAGCGGGACAATCACCTCCCTCGACCTACTAGCGATGCCGTGCTTGATGCACCCCAGGACATGGTTGGCCCTCCTGGCTGCCAGGGCACACTGCTGGCTCATATTCAACTTGCTGTCTAATGTATAATATAATATAATGTAATATTATTATGTATAATATAATGTAATAATATAATGTATAATACATTATACATATATTGTACATGGTCCCATTTAGGAATAATCAGTTACTCTCTTTCTTGCTCCCCAGAATTAGCAAAGCAAGAAGACAAATTAACCCTTGTCTGCTGACTTACAGTCTGGCTCCAGATCTAGTTTTGGGAAAACTCTAACAAAAAAATAAGTATTCTCTTGTGCCAAATGCTAAACCACTTCTGTGTTGAGCTGGCAGTGAGTTCACCCAAAGTATTTTAGGAGGCATTGACAGAAGGACTTCTCTTACTAATGCCAGTAAATTTACAAAGACATGAAAAAAATAGAATATTAGCTTGTTAAGTGTTATTGTGGGGAAGACTAGAGGGGTAAGGGTAGTTTTTTGTTTTATTTATGTATTTATTTATTTTTCTGGTTAGAATAAGCTACAAACGTTCAGAAAAGTGAAATTCTGTGATTAGTCACTTACCATCAGGTTTAAGAAAAATCCGAATAGTTAAATCAAGGTTTTAATATGCACCAAACAATTCTGGGGCACATCCCTTTTAGGGATGACCAGTTCCCACGGGATGTGTGGTGGACATTCAATGAATACAATATTTACAGTAAATGTGTTTTAAGAAAACAAGATTGGAAAAAGTAGAAACCAATAATTTCTCTTAAAAGTCCTGGATGAACTTAAGACACTTCTTGCTGAAAATGCTGATAAGTGGTCTTGTTATTTTCAGAAACAACTTTCTAAGATGCACTTTCACTACAGTTATAGCTGTCAGCTTGATTGTGCAACTGAAAAAGAAATTGTCATGCTGCTTTCCCCTGCATCCAGGATGGAAGCAAGAATCAAAAAATATAATAAAATAATTTAATTTATTTTGTTAGCACCATTTATTTCATCTCTTAAGGAACTTGTGGCTCTCTTGCTAATAATCAAATCACAGGTCTTACCATATGAATTTAATCAAATTAGGTAACAAATATTGTAATGCATGCTACAGAAGGTAATGTTAGACTGTATGCTGTTTCATTCATACAGAAATATCTCCTTAACAAAGCCAGAGGCAGACAGAGGCAAACAATTAATTATAATTAAATTATAATAATTAGTCACAAGATTGCCACTAAAATCTTGCAGAAATGGTGAGAGAGAACATAAATTTAACTGATAGTCTGAATTGTCGGTTTTGAAGGACATTGAAGTTATAACTTCATTGAAGTTATAACAATAAAATAGCGTGAGAAGTTGAATACCAAGGAGAATATTCTACTATACTGTAAACAAGAGACAGCTAAATTTGTTTGTTTTCTGATGCTTCTACAATTTTCTAGCATTAACAGGAAATTAATAATGTTAAAAGATATGGGATTTGACATTTGTTTTAAAAAGCTAGAAGCAAACCTTGTACCCTACCTTGTAATACAAATAATTTGGTTCTGATTTTCTTTTACCTTAAGTAATCTGTTTTTCATATTCCTATCTTGCATCCTTTAAAAAAAAATGATGCTGGTATACTAGTATTATATATTACTGATGCTAAACTATCTCTTCTATCTATCAGTACCATTTGACAAAATCAAATCAACTTTTTGTCATAAATTCACAACATAGATGAACAGCAATATAGTTCATCATTCATCTTGTACAACATAGATGAAACAAAATAGTTTATTTTTTAAATGTTAGCAGGAGATAGGATAGTAAGTCTATTAACTTGATGATGTGGCAGTCTTCTATCTTCAACAGAATTTGTGTCCTTTTTCAGTTTCTGTTCTTGGTGTGTGATGACAAATAGGAGGAATTGGAAATAAAGTGAACAGCATCCATGAAAAGATTTTGACCAAAATATTTTGATCCATATTCATGTTATTGGATCTGAGTTGTTCAGATTCAATAACATAATAAAAATATAAAATGTAATTTCAATAATAATAAAAATAATTTTATTTAAAAAATCTTCATGAAGTAGATTCAATAGAAAATTGTCATCAAAGTTTATATTCTATGTGTTCTGATGGGCAGTGATATGATATAAAGTTACTGAAGGTGGATGACTGAGTTTAATGTGTCCTTCTAGCACAGAGGTGCTTCTCTATAATGGAACTATGGGCTCACACTTGTTCCAGTGTCTACTAGGCTACATCTGTGTTAAGTTTATGTTCTGATCAGTTCGCATCTTAAGCCCACCAGGTTTACTGGCTGAAGGTAATAAGGTAATGCTGGTGAGTCCTGTTCATCACTGGCTTCTGCTTGTTGTATCATGGAATCACAGAATGGCTGAGATAATTTTTCAAGATGTTAAACAGGACTGGACCCAGTATTGAACCCTGGGGTACAGTGATAGGCATTAGCCTCCAAACTGATTTTTCAACACTAATCACCATCCTCTAGGGTCAGCCATTCATCCAGTTTTCAATCTACCTTACAGTCTGTCCACCCAGACCATCTTCCTTAGCACTTGTGGGTACAACCCATTAAGACCCATGGACTTATGTATGCCCACTATGCTTAAGTATTCCCTGACCTGATACTCTTCCACCAAAGACACATCTTCCTTGCTCCAGTCTTTCTCCTTGGTCTCCAGGACCTGGGATTCCTGAAACATGATGGTCTTGCCAGAAAAGACTGAGACAAAGAATGCATTCAGTACATCAACCTTTTCACTCTTCCTTTTAACAAGGTCCCCTGTTTCATTCAACATCAGGCCTGCATTTTACCTAGTCTTCCTTTCATCACTGATGTACTTACAGAAGCCCTCCTTGTTGCCTTTCACTTCTCTAGCTGAATTCAGTTCCATTTGGAGTTTAGGCACAAACTGTATCTATGGTGGTAACAACCAACAATATTGCTAGCTCAATCTTCCTCAACTATCCAATGACCAAAATGGCATATACTTTAATAAATATATATTTTCTGCATGAAGGGATTTATAAGTATATGAATTTAAATGTTATCACTCAATCACAGCACTTGATGGACTATAATGGATATTAACGTTTTGTTGGGCATGTGGATCATAGACAAGTCACCAGATTTCCCTTTCTCTGCCTTGAGCAAAGTTGATATCCCCTTCCATTTCAGACAGGAACACCCACAGTATCAGGACACCAAGAGTTCATGGCAAATATCAGAAACCCCTTCATGTTCTGTGTCATGTATCCCACCTAGAAAACACTGGCTCACACTCTCCAGCTGGGATCTTCAGGAAAAAAAAAATTAAAATATTCACTTGCACAGTTGCACAGCAGTGTCCCAAAGGTCATATGCATTGTCACAATCTGCTGCATGTTGCAGAACATTTGCTAGCCCAGCAGGAGCCGTGCCATCAAAATTGGTGGACAGGACACTTCAGGCCAGTTTTGTCTAATTCAGTGCTGTTCCAGACAACAGTCCCATGAGGGTAGTTCAGGCTGTAATATACTTATTCTTTACTCACTGGAAACCAATGTAAACTGTGCACTCATGTCAGAAGGACTGGGCTTATACCATGTTTTCTCCCATAGAACACCTTAAAACAAACTTCTTACCTTCCTTCCAACCTTTACAGTTTATGGGATAATGAACTCAGAATGTGCCCACAGATATTTTGATACCAAGCTTGCTCAGCAAGTTTTCCCTACAAAGCTCAAATATATTCTTTTGATGAATGAGTATGCTGTAGTCATGCTATCTTCTTTCCTTCACTTCATACTTACCAAACTCTCGCTTTGCATTGTCCTCACTGGGCAGTTGATTATATTCTGGCAAAGATGTTACCCAGGGGATGAATGGCCACACATCCTAGAAAATCCTTATAAAATAAAAAAAACTGACAGTTAACTGATTAAATATATTTGTTTCCTCAGGAAAATTACAAGATAAGCTCTACAACAATAAGACATACAAGAAGGAAGTGGAAAACAGAATCACAGCATCACAGGCTGGTTGAGGTTGGAAGGGACTGCTGGAGGTCACATGGTCTAACAACCCATCTCAGGCAGGGCCACCCAGAATATCTTGCCCAGGACTGTGTCCAGACAGTTTTTGAATGTCTCAAAGAAGGGAGACTTTCTCCATAACCTCCCTGGGCAACCTGTTCCATATCTCTGTTACCCACACAGTATAAATGATCTTTGTGATGTTCAGAAGGAACCTCTTGTGTTCTCTTTGTGCCCATTGCCTGCAAGAGAAAACCTGCAAGACAAAACCTGCAAGACCTGCAGACATTTCATTTGCCACTGTGGACAGAGGCTAAGAGAAAAACAGGTAGATATGAAGAAAGTGCTAGTAAAGACTGATGTTTGTTTAAGAGTTTAGGAAGCAAATTGAATTACTCAGTATGTAGTACTGAACTAAATTGGTTCCCAGGTCAATTTAGTTCAGTATTACAAACATGCAAGATTTAGGATGGAGGACTTCATTTGGGGGTTCAGACACACTAAGATGAAGTTAAGCGAGGAGTACCGTTCTACCAAGGTAAACACTCTACCATCAGTCTGTCTGGGATTGTTTCTGACAACCTTCTTCATTGAATCAGAGCATTGGCTAAGACTGAAAAAATATGATTTGGGAGTCAAAACTGTAGACCAAAATGTTCAGGCATTAAATAAATATATACATACATATATATATATATGTATATATAAAACAACATAGTAAGTTAACTTTCCCATAAGGAAAGGTGCTAAAATCCTCCATTTATCTTCATGGCAGAATCACTGAAGAAATATAAAAGTTTGTATTTGGTGCAATGAATATTATCTATGTTTACACATGCCAGAAATATGCAATCTAATTATCGTTCTGTCCCTGTTTCTAGAAGAGCTTTATTCTCCTCCATTCCTCATTTCTGCCAGCAAACTGGAGAGCAGCAAGGGCAGCATCCACATAAGCACCAGAAAGTGACTTCTGGGAGTGACAGCAAAACTCCTAAAACTTCTCAAGGTCTAGAAATGCCCCTTGAGCTGTCTCTCCAGTGCATACTCCAGAGACCCTGGTAGACCCTGGTATTCTTTTGCTTGTTGAATCACCTCATACATCTGGCCAAGACACTCATTTTACTTCAAAAGTCTTTTGTGGCTTTTAATTGTTCTCAGAAATACCAGCGACAAACCATTCAAAACAGATCAGAAGAGGTCTGGGATCTGTCTGTAGGGACATATTGGTGTTTAAAAGCTCACCCTATATATCATCTGAGAAGAGGGAAAAAAAGTCATTGTTATATCTAGATACCATCTATAACAGGACAGGATGTTGTGCTGGCTGTATCTGCCCAGCAGCTATCTGTGAATCTCAAGCTATGGCCAATACCCAAGCTACGTCCCTCTTTCCCTGTCAAGAAGACAGAAAGTTGACTTGATCCCAATTTAGCACAGGACTTGAACAAATATGTGTAGCTTGGATGATCATGGGGAGCCTGGACTGGAGTGCAGTCTCAGTCTTGAGGATCACAATGTTGTGGACAGCCTTCTGGATATAATTTAGATCTGTCATAAACCAGATGAGACTTTAATGGGAATAATGCCCAGGCCACCTGTGATGGATTAGCTACCTTCCTGGCTAGCTCTTACAGACCAGGTCTGCACTGATGGATCATAGCCAGATGGCATGAGATACTGGGTTTGTTTCAGTGTGACAGTGTTTATAATGAGGATTGGCTCCAGTGAGAGGTGAGAAGGGCAAGAAAAGACATAAATCTGGATGATGAGAGTAGTTTGAATGAACAAAAGGACATGTTGGAGAAAGGGTCCAAGGACCAGTGCCTATAGCATAGGGCTGCTGGTGTGCTGGAGAAATGGGCCAACCACTTCTGGCTGTGGTGCTTGTTTGAGTGACTTGTTCTGGCCTGAAATCCTGTGGCTGCCAAGATCAGTTCAGTGCTGTTTCCTTCAGTCTGCTGATCTGGGCTGCAGGGCCTCCATTTATGGGATTTTTGTTTGTTTGTTTGTTTGTTTGTTTCTTTTCATTCTCTTATCCACAGGGGGACTTATCAGATAAAAGAAGTTGGTGGAGTGACAAGGATTGATTAGCAGTCAGGTGGAATGGGATTTTTATTTCTGCCTCCATAAACACCTGAGTGACAGTCAGCTGTGTGTGACTGTGGTCTTACCAATAAGTTTGTGTGAGAGTGTCTTGAACTAAAACATTGTTCATTTAAACATTCATATCTCTAAAATGTAGGAATATTAGGTAAAGGAATCAAATACTGTAGTATTTCAGCTTCAGGGAACAGCTGAAATAAATAGGCCATGTTTCAGAGAGATGACAAATGCTGTGCAACAAGATCTGGGGGTATTCCACAGGTAATTGTCTTGAAATTAAGGTGAATATGTGAAGTTTTTATTGAGATATTTAAGACGATAGATGGTACATTTCAGATCTAATTGCTCTTTTTCTCACGCATCACTTTGTACTGGAGACTCCAGAGGTATATGATGAAATTATAAATGCTCTTAAAACCTGAACAAGAAAATACCTCATTGCATTTCTGGGAGATCTTTGCAAGGCTCAAATTTCTGAATGCAACAGATTATCTATTATTACTATTTTTATTACTATTATTATTATTGTGGAATAATAAATTGAGCCCTTATTTAACTTCAAATCCTGATTTTCATTCAAATTTCTGCACAACAAGCAGGATGCAGATCTTGTAATCCTTTGAGCTGGATGGAACTCTAAAGTGTAACAGGATTAGGTTGGATACTAGGAAGAACTTCTTTACTGAAAGGGTTGTTAGGCATTGGAATGGGCTGCCCAGGGAAGTGGTTGAGTCACCATCCCTGGAGGTCTTTAAAAGACATTTAGATGTAGAGCTTAGTGATACAGTTTAGTGGAGGACTGGTTAGTGTTAGGTCAGAGGTTGGACTAGGTGATCTTGGAGGTCTCTTCCAACCTAGATGATTCTGTGATTCTGTGAATCCCCCTGCATCTGTTTAGGATGTTGCAGCATCATAGCTGAGATGATTCTTCATAGTAACTATGCTAGTCCTATTAGAAGCTGGAATAAGCACAAATGTAAGAGGCTGGAAGTGCTTAGGTGTTTGAAAGATGGTCAAGATATGGTATGAAAATAAGGGTGAGAGCACTATAGTGGAGAGGACTGATTAATGTGTGAGGAAAACAAAAGATTGGGTTGAAAAATGGAGTAAAAAATATTATAGAGAGGAATCCCAGATCATAGGGTAGGGAGACTGAAACACAGGGGAGAGAGAGACAAAAAACGATAGCAATATTTGTAAAGCAGTCTTTTATGAACATTGTCAGAAGCATATTGTCTCAGTACAGTATGCTTATTTCCCGTGGCATAGTAAAGCAGTAGTAATGGGTTTGGCCTGTTAGTCTTAGAACATGATTGTAAAGATTGAACTTTGTTTTATGACTTTAGTTTCAAAAGCAACTAAGCAACTAAGAGCTCATGATAGGAAGTGATTGCTACCTTACATGAACAGGAATCTGATATAAGGGCTGAAAACTGAAGAGCTCACCTTGTGACTCCATTTTTTTTTTTTTTTCTTTTAGCTGTTAATTTCTGGAAGTACATTTTTTTTTTTTTTTGAGGTTGAAAGGGACTTTTGGAGGTCATATACTTTAACATCCCATCTCAAGAAGGGCCACCCAGAACATCTTGCCCAGGACTGTGTCCAGACAGCTTTTGAATATCTCAAAGAAAGGGGATTCCACAACTTCTCTGCACTACCTTTACTCTGTTACTCCATTACTCTGTTACCTGCACAGTAAAGAAGTTCTTTGTGATGTTCAGATGGAACCTCTTGTGTTCCTGTTTGTGTCCATTGCCTCTTGTCCTGTCACTGGGCACCACTGAAAAGAGCCTGGCTCCATCCTCTTTGCACGCTCTGTTCAGGTATTTGTAGATGAGTTGAGATCCCCCCTGAGTCTTTTCTTCTTCAAGCTGAGTGATCCCAGCTCTATCAGTCTTCCTCCTTGGAGAGGTGCTCCAGTCCCCTGGTCATCTTTGTGGCCCTGCATTGGACTCTCTCTAGCATGTCTGTGTCTCTCTTATACCAACGAGCCCAGAACTGGACACAGTACTCCAGGTGCAGCCTCACCAGTTCCGCATACATGGGAAGCATTATCTCTTTTGACCTGCTAGCAGTAATTTACTTAATGCAGCCGAGAACACTTTAGCGTTCTTAGAAGTGAGGTCACATTTCTGGCTCATGTTCAACTTGAAGTTCACCAAGACCACCAGGTCCTTTTCTGCAAAGCTGTTTTCCAGCTGCATGGCCACCAGCATGTTCTGGTGCACTGGGACTGATGAGTGCATGTCTTTGTGCTTCTCCTTATTGAACTCCATGAGGTTCCTGTCAGCCCATTTCTTCAGCCTGTCCAGATCTCTCTGGATGGCAGCATGACCTTCTGGCATAACAACTATGATTCTATGATCCACTCCTCACATCTTTGTTTCATCCGGAAACCTAATGAGGGTGTACTCTACCCCATTATCCGGATCATTAATGAGAATGTAAACAGGACTGGACCCAGTATTGACCCCTGGGGTACACCACTAATTTATAGCCTCCCACCAGACTTGGCACCACATTGTATTTAGCATACTACTTCTTGGTGGACATGTATGGAGAAACGTCACTTATTTAAACCTCAACTTTACACTTCTGAATTCTGTAAAGGCTGGCTTCTCTCCATTATGTTATCCTAGGTGCATCTCTTAGACAGTCTAAGGCAAAGTGCTTTGAGAGAAAAGGGATATGAAGTGATGAGTTTTTCTTAAGTCCAATTTCTTCCCATGGGTATTTTATCACTCTTAACAGTGTAGCAGAAGATACATAT